CCTGCAATTGGACATCTAGCAGTCGGACATCCCTCTCACAATCAAGAACCGCTCACTCCTGCCTGCTTGCCCCTACGTATACACCTGCCTGCCTGCTCGACCCTAACCCCTCGCCTGCCTGCCTGCTCACTCTTACTGCTTGGTTCGCCACTGTGGGAGCCCACTGACCACCAGTGGGCAGCTCCTGTATTGAGCATTTGCCCCCTGGTGGTCAGTGTGAGTCATAGCAACCATTATTTCAGTCCTTCCATCATAAAGATTGCTTAGGCTTTTATATGTAGACTCTAGGCCCAGTGCATGAAATTCGTGCATGGGGAAGAGGTCCCCCTCAGCTCAGCCTGCACTCTCTCCAATCTGGGACCCCTCGGGACCTCTGGCTCCTAACCACTCACCTGCCTGCCAGCCTGATCCCCCTAACTGCTCTCCCTGGCTGGCCTAGTCCTAATTGTTCTCCACTGCCTGCCTGATTGCCTCTAACCTCCTCTGCCTTGCCCCCCCCCGCCCCCCTCCAACATGGCTTTGTCACAAAGAATGTCCGGAAAAACATCTGTAAGGTAGTCTGGAAGATGTTCAGCCTAATTAGCATATTATCCTTTTATTAATATAAATGCCACTTTGTCCTAAAAATGCAGGTTGTTCCCAGGTTTTCCTATTGTGGAAGGGGAGCCTGCAGTAACATCCTGGCTTCTGACCAGGGCTTATGCACTTGTGCTTTATCTCAGCAGATATGATTCCTAGAAGAAAACTCTTGGATGTACCTTGAACATTTCTATCAAATTTGCCAAATCATCCTCCAAAAATGTTGAACCACTTTATTTTTTTTCAATATATTTTATTGATTTTTTTACAGAGAGGAAGGAAGAGGGGTAGAGAGCTAGAAACATAGATGAGAGAGAAACATCAACCAGCTTCCTCCTGCACACCCCCCACCGGGGATGTGCCTGCAACCAATGTACATGCCCTTGACCGGAATTGAACCTGGGACCGTTCAGTCTGCAGGCCGACGCTCTATTCACTGAGCCAAACTGGTTTCGGCTGTTGAGCCACTTTAAACTCCTATCAGCAACCATGTGTGTATCCTCTGTCCCACTTAATGCCAATATCATTGATTTCTCCCTAGAAGCTTCCCTCCCATCAGCCAAGACTGCTTGGTACTTGAGCCAACCTCATTGTTCAGCTGTGGAATTGATTTCCTGAGATAGAATTATGGAGGAGGAAAAATAGTTTTCCTCTACCTTTCCGAGTTCTTAGTGGAGGCCCTTGTGGTGAAAGACAGATCACTAAGAGAAAAACAAAAGTTCATTAACATGTGTACCTGGTATATATGTGGGAGACCCAGGGAAAAATGAGTAACACCCCAAGGTGGCTTAGAATGCAGATTTAAACACCTTCTCCCTAGGGAAAGGGGATGGGAGATGTAGGCTTCTTAGAGGAGAGTAAATGGTTTTTAGGAAAGATGAATGGGGCGGGGGGAAATAGTTTGTAACAAAGTTTGGGTGTAATGTCAACTTCTACTCTCCTGCCCTGTTACAGGAGTCAGTCTTCTCTGCCTGATGACACTCTCCCATCAAGGGCACCTTTAGGGGTTCTGATTTTAGGCAGATCAGTGAAATCCTCTGCATGCATTTGCTGTTTTTCAAGCATCTGCAGCTCAAGATCATCAGTATAACAACACAGCATATGTTGGGGTGGCATGTTCTCTGACCTTTAGAATAAATCCAAGGAAAGTTTGTTTCCTCTCTTAGATGATTTGCCACAGTAGCATTATTCCCTGGAGATGGTATTCTGACCAGACTTTCCTGGGAGTGGTCATAACATGAAGACAGGTTAAATTCTTTAACAAGTATTTACTGAACATACTAAATTCAAATAATTTCTCCAATACCTGCAATGTGTTATTGAAGTCATTTTGGCCTTTTGGTTATATTTTCTACTAAAGGCCCATTGCACAATATTTGTGCAAGAATAGGCCTTCCTTCCCCTGGCTTCACTCCGGGCCCCCCAGGAGCCTGCATATCCTCGCTCCTGGCCAGAGCCCCCTCATAGCAGTGCCCAACCCCTCCCAGTCACTCAGTGCCTGCATATGCAAATTAACCCACCATCTTTGTTGGGTTAATTTACATACTCACTCCTGATTAGCTGTGTATTGTGGAGGTATGGTCAATTTAAATGTTTGTCTACTATTAGGTAAGATTAGATTATAATTCTCTTGAGAACAACCTCTGGCCCTCTTTAACTTCATATCCTTGATGACCAGCACAAGTTGTGGCTCATGGTATAGGATTAATAAATATTTATTAAGAAACAGAGAAAGAAAAAACAGACAGGAAGGCAAATATTAGGGTAAACCACAGGCCTATGGCCCTATTCTCACAAATTAGACAGTAAAAATTATGGTCACCCTTATGAATGCTGTCACCCACACTACTTTGCATACACTATTAAAAAACAGTTTTTAAAAGAGGGCATAATTGTTATATTCGGGGAATTATAAAACAAGCAAAAATGTAATTTACTCATCTATTATTGAGGGAGCCAGTAAGCTCTTACAAGTGGCTCAAAGGAGAATTTCAAGAACCACACATAAGGATAAGCAGTAAAAAAAAGCCGAAGGAAATTTACAAATAGAGGTAAAACAGATCTACCCACACAACAATAATCAGTTACACCCTACCAGAAATAATTAATTTGCATTTCTATGAACAAAGGTCATTTATATTAGTACCCATTTTCTACATCTTACAGAGTTTTAAGTAGCTTAAAAACAATAAAAAGGAAATAACTCAGATGGGTACACTATGGAGAATACCCACTAATCCTTTTTTACTATTTTAAAATATTTCACAATCTTTCCTAACAACTTTCATTAGTACCAAGATTTGGCAAAAAAAAAAAAAAAAAAAAAAAAAAAAAAAAAAAAAAAAAAAAAAAAAAACCATTATAGCTATTGCTTATTCTTCTTCTTATATGGTTTTTTTTTTTTTTTATAATCTTCCAGGATTTATGCTTAAGCTTAATAAAACTGGAGCTTATTTGAGAAACAGTGAGAGGGAAATGTGTTTCCTTTAGAATATCCTGCCTCTTCTTGGTTCAATTTACCCTACTGTTCTTTACTGTCAGAGTGAGTTATTATATTTGATGGCTCCATGGTTCCTTTAGCAGAAATGTCAAGACCAAACTAAACCTTTCCCTTTAAAAAAAAATATTTTTGTTGATTTCAAAGAGGAAGAGAGAGGGATAGAGGGATAGAAACATCAATGATTAGAGAATCATTGATTGGGTGCTTCTTACATGCCCCCTACTGGGGATCGAGCCTACAACCTGGGCATGTGCCCTTGAGCAGAATCAATACAGGTATCCTTCAGTCTCCAGGCTGACACTCCATCCACCAAGCCAAATTATCGGGAAACTTTTCCCTTTTAATACATGTATTTAATATTTTTTCACCTCAAATAGCATATCATGTTTCATGAAGAAAGAAATGATCATATGTGTTTTTTATTCACCAAAGCAACTAAAAGAATTCTGAATTCATAGTCCTCAATAAATATTTTCTACTTGTGAAAAAATATTTTAACATTTTTATAAGATGATCAAAGTTGTAAAACAAACTTAAATATTATACTTTTGTTCTTTTTTTAAAAAGAAAATGTTGGGAGCAATGGTATATGTACAAAGATAATAATTTAGTTAAAAATTAAAAATAAATAAAAATAAATAAAAAATAAAAATAAAAAATAAAATGTTTTTTTTCTATTTTTCTATTGGAATTTTAAGTGACCATAATTTTTCTCCTTGGGGAGGGTGTCTATAATTGGAGCAGTCTTTCTTGAGATTATGTCCCCAATTCGTACTTTCTCTGACCTATGCCCTGAATCCTTTCTATATTATACTGTTTAAAAGTGCACTCAGATGCCTTCAAATGCACAGAATATTTTTCTACATCTCCCCTTGAATAGGGGAGAAATTTTAAATAATTATGAATAATATAGAGGGATGACACACATTCAGTTGAGAACATGTATCAAAATTATTTGTTGAATTTTTTTAAATATGTCATTTTATGGGATCACAGATCATAGTGAGCCACATTGCAATGAGTGTGAAGTTTAGTATTGTTGGTACAGCGAGAGAAAGCAACTATTTACCTAGCAATTAGAGAATATTATAAATGGTATATATTATAATCTGTAAATAATTGGAGGAAAACATTTTTATTTCTATTACATATCTCTGCATATTCTGCTTTCCAAAAAGATGTCATGCATAATACTTGCAACAGGCAAATGCTAACATCCTTCGGTGACCATATTAATAGTCAAAATGCTTACAGCTTCTGTATTATCTTACCTAAACTATACTGTTATAGTTTTTTAGTTTGTTGGATGGTATTAAAAAAACAAACAAAACAAAACAAAATTTTTTTTAAAAAAACCTATTTGATTTTACTGGACATAAGGTAAAAGGTTCAAGGGATGTTGATTTTCTAAGGTCCACTCTGCCCCTTTAGATTGGCCTATATCTGCACCATTGCATGATTATAGGATGGGAAAGTTGGACTAGCAAGTATCTGGCCTTGAAACACAAATAGTGTCTGTAATCATGTGACTAAGTTGCCTTCCTTGTGAAATTTTGCTAACTCTGGATATTTTTCTCATCCTTTGGAAAGAGAAGCCAAAAGCCAACTCAATTATTACTTAAATGTATCATTCTAAAGGATGCTGACCTCTGCATCTTCATGATCTCATATGCTTAAAGTTTTGAGTAAGAAGAAAAGCCTTAAGCCTCAAGGATCTTGGGTCTGCATCATTTCGGAGATATTGAGGGAAATTGAGCTAGATGGTGATGACTTAGCAATGAGCATGTGGTAGCACTTTGTAGCTACTTTACATTGGACATACTGTATCATTCCATTTGAGCTTTACTCTTATAGCAATGAAACCTGTCCTCCAGTGTTGTTTCCAAATGTCTTTGCTTATGGTACTTATTTTCCTTTTTAGCAATACTTTCATGCAGGAGGAAATGGTCTCAAAAAGAATTTCTTGGAGAAAAGCCCAGATCTTCAGTCTCTGAGATATGCTCTCAGTCTTTATACCCAAACGACTGATGCCTTGATAAAGAAGTTCATAGACACTCAAACCTCACAGAGTAAGTAACATATTGAATATGATAATAAACTGAACACCTAGGTAAAATTCAACATAAGAATTATTATAAATAGTATTAATAATTTTAATATAATAAATTAAAGAAATAAGAATGGAGGCTATGGTCAACAGAAAATTATCAAATTTTTAGCATTCATAAATTACAGTCTTATGAATTATTTTAATATTAGTAGGGTATGCTTAATACTAAAACTGTATTGAATGGTTGACTCTTCTTGGTGATTTTAACTTCAAAATATTTAGCAAAGCCTAGTTTTGAATATCCATAACTGTGATAGTCTCTTCAATTTAGTATGAAGATTCAGTGTTTGCTGGTTTTGGCAACTCCTCAAAAATGATAATTCCCCAAATCCTGATTTCAAATGTAAAATCTCCTGCTTTAGTGTTTCCAGAAGGGAAATCTAATCTTATCCTAAATTTATATGAGAAAAGTTTTCAACTTTCACTTTGAAATGGGACAAGAGGTAATTATTTTATTTAAAACTCAAATCTGTTTCACATGGCAAAGTTCCCGCCTCATAAGCTTCTAGGATATTACTGTTAACCTTTATTTCAAGTTGCTTTGTGATTGATTATATTTTGGTAATTATGTGCATTTATGATCTGGCATTTCTGAGAGATTATTGAAAATGTCAGTATGAGTCAAAAAGACCCAAATGCAGACTCAAACTCTAGAACATAATAAATCACACCCAGAAATCATAAATATAAATGAAAGGATATGGTTTTCATTCATGAGAGAGCCTCAGAAAAGAAAGAATATTTTTTTTCCTGTGATGAAAACGCTCCAGGCTTATTTTTTTTCATAGATATTTAATTTTTCTAACTACATCAAACATAATGCCAAGGTAAGTGCCATGTAGGTGTTTGGCCTGTCTTTAACACTTGGTGCTTTCTGAGAGTGTCCATTTAAATGCTCTTTTGTTTTTTCATTTGATATGCAAACCTAGCCTACATCTTGGGATGGTTCCAGAAAGAAAGAATAAGCTGAGTTCATGAGAGCTTATCAAGAAATACAGAAATATTCAGAACATTACCCCTGAATCCATGATCTTTCAAGGTTTTCTGAACTTTATAAATGTCTATACAATTCTAATATATCATACAAATAGTGTTATAGCTTTATTCCCAGATTATATAAGAATATAAAACTTTGCTTTGTTTTTATAGGTATGCATTTATAGAACACACACATGTATACAGCCTATGTTTTAGCATAGAATCACACCAAAAATACTGCATCTATATCAAGTTTGGTATATGGAATTTGGCACATGTATTTATTTTTATACCATGTATTGTATGGCAACATTAAACATGGATGGTGGTAGGTAAGAAAATCTGCAATCACAGTAACCACTCGATTTAACATATCTTTATTTCAGACTTGGTCTCCCTTTTTCTTTTTTACTCTACTTTTCTGGCTTTATTGAGTATGTCTGTTAGTGGGGAGGCACATAATTAAAATTCTCAAGCCATAGATATGAAACAGCTTTGCATTTTCTCCAATAGCTACCTTCAGTCATACTCTATGGAAACCTATCCCTACCAACCTCATCATCCCCAAACAGGCATAATCAGATCCAAGAACCTGCAGGGTAAAGGGAGATTGGTGTACTCTTTGTTCCCCCTTTCTGCCCTCCCCTTTGCTCCCCTTTTCTGTTATAGCAATTTTGGGGGCAGAAACAGAAGGGAAGGAGGTAAATGTCTTTAGTGTTCTCTGTATGGTCGCATCTAAATGCTGGCTTTCCAAGGGGCCCAGTGTTAGGGGCCATTGTATATTTTCAGTTCCTTGAGAAGTGTACCTTGTTCCAGCTCCCTTCAGAGACTCCTCAGTGATGCCTCCTGCAGCATGTGCCATAGCTTCTTGCTAGTTCAATATTTGCTCCTACTGGCCAGCCCTCTGGAATGGGGCTCTAGCAAGAGGCTGAAGCCCAGCTTTCCCCTGCGGGGTTCACTTGAGCCAGAAGAAATGCAAACATTCTTTCTACATCTTTGGTGATAATGGAGGATTCTCCACTGTCACCTGCCATCTCTTTACAGTTCTCTTCTCCACCTGCTCGAATAGAGATTTATGTATATTTCCAAATTGAGGGAGGTTGGAGAGAGGAATACTACTGCCTCATATAACATAACCATTGTTCAATCACAAACAGAGGTAAGCCAAAGTATTTCTGAGTTTATATTCATGCCCTCTCTTCTAATTCTATCACAGACCCTTTTCAGTATTCATTAGCACAGGCTGAATAATAAAGTTAGCCAGCAATATCATATCCTTTATAAAATAATAAGGTAAAGGGGAGATAAGATGAAAATTTGCTAAATATTTGAATCATTTATAGCACAGCCTAAAAGGAAATATAGTAGAGAATACAGTCTTCAATTGCTAAAATTGGGCCTTAAGTCATGGTTTATATTTATGACTTTCAAATGTCCCTTTCCATGTTATGTTCCCTTGGATTCAAAGGAAACTCAGCTTCTAGAGTTGTTAACTAAGAAGCATAAAAAGTTGAATTCTTAGAGGGTCTTATTTATATGGGTTTCTGTACTATTCTGTGAGCATTTGACACTGGGCATGTAGAAATGGAGGAACTTGGGTTCCATCCTGTGGATTACTTTGCTACTTGCCCAGCAGGTAGGTGAACATTTCCAGTTAATTGTAGGATCAATCATCCCCTTTACACACCCAATATTGTGGTAGCATGGAGAGTCTCTATTTCCAGTGTAGATATTCTTGCAGATATCTAAACATTTATCCTAATATTTATTATAGTGAAGTTTTGTTAATCAAAACCTTATATTTTGTTAATTCAATTTAGAAAGATCATACTGGTGTTATAACTTTCAAATACACCATTTGAAGTGTAAGCTAGCACTGCAAACCGCAAACTCTGCCACTTTTCTGTCTGAGGAGCCGCAGGAGCATGCTCAGTGCCATGAGTTAATGCTCCAGGAACCAGCCCACAACCAAGGAAAGATAGGAAGTTGGCAAATTAAAAAACAAAAATACAAAATCCAGCTTCTTCAGTTGGGTCAATTCTCACTTGTGTTTTGCACAGACTCCAGAGGTTCCCTATAGTACAGAGCTCCATTCTCCCTCTGAAGGCTGGCTGGATACCATATTGCTTTTTCCTTTTCTCACCCCTTCAGGCCCTATCAGTGTTTCCTGGGATTCTTTCCCAGCTAGACCATTTACCTTGAGTGCTTGTGTCAGAGTCTGCTTCTAGGGAAACAGAAATCCAAGGTCACACAGCTAGAAAGCCAGAATCAAACTCAGCTAGTCTAGACCTCTAGATTCAGTGCTCTTAGCCTATTGTGTGTTCATCTTCTTAATAATAAGTGTGAAGGCCAAATACTCGGAATGACATTACTTGGACTTCCCCCTCATGACTTTTCAAGTCAACAATACAGAACTAAGTGAAATTCAACCTATAGATAAGTATATTTTCACTTACCTCATGATCAGTAAAACAAAGTAATTTTTGTTCCCTTAATCTCTAACTCATACTCTGCAAAGAAATAATTGTTTTAAACTATTCACATGTTATTCAATAGATCTACATGTTATATGAAAGGATTGTGATCCATTAGGAATATAAGCATGCTTTTTGAGACATTCATATTATACTTTTTTTTTCATAAAATCTCCCCTTATTTCATTTTCTTCTTTATCTACTTCTTGTTAAAATTTTCTTTCTCATTTTTTTCTCTGTTATGTAATTTCCTTGTTAGGAAATTAACTATAAGATTAAAAATTTAAAAACCAATTACTATTAAAAGTTTTATCTTCAAATTGAAAGGTATATTTTCTTTTGAAAATATTTTTATTTAAATTCAGCTTTTTTTTAATGGGTTTATAAGCATAGAAAAATCTGTTGACTTTGTTCGTATTTTTTTCTTTCTCTCCTTTTATTTTTTAGCTCCTTTTCACTTTACCTGCTTTTTGCTCTTTTTAAATAGATTTCTGTCATTTTTTTCTAGTAGTTAAAAAAAGAAAATCATTAAAAAAAACTACAAAGAGTCACATTAGAAATTGAGACAAATGAGATCTATCAGTATGGAAAAACACTGTCTTCTCTCCTCTTTCTATTCCAAATATTGAAAAATAAATCCAAAATATTCATAGAAGCTTAAGTCCTCAAATGGAACTGGAAGTTCACTTTATAAGAATAGCAAGTTTATTATTCTAGGAAAGCATCACAGCAATAGAATACCATCTAACTCTGAATTCTTTAACAAGTGTTTACTGAGCATCACCTCTGAACAAAGTCCCATACAATGATGGACATCATCAAAGTGATGAACGTGAAGTTGTGTGCACAAGTTGCTCTAAGGCAGTGGTTCTCAAACAGGGTTATTTTGTTCACCCAGAGACTTTGAATCAATATCATAAGAGCTTTTTGGTTGTCACATCTGAGAGTGGTAGTTGCATCACTATTTTCTCTCAGGTGATGCTGCTAAATATTGTACAGCTACCTATGACAGAAATGTAAGTGGCGCCAAATGGCAATAGTGCTGAGATTGGGACATCCTGCTATAAAAATAGACTAACAAGTGAGAAGTGATGTAATGAAGGTCATGTTAGAAGAGGGGAAATTTTGACTAGAGAAGAAAGAGAACACAAAGGTCAGTGGGTTACCTGGGTTATGAGGAAGTAGAAAGAAAAAAAAGGTGTTTTGAATGAAGAAATTCCAGGAAAGTATATGCTTGCACTCTTAATTTTAAAATTCCTATATGTCAAACATATCCACAATATATATTTATTAAGACAAAAAAGATTATTTAGCTTTTAGAACAAAACTCGCCATATCACCATCTATTTTTGATAAAGACATATTGTATAGTTAAAAGTGCCTTAGATTTCCCTATGCCATTAAAATATACAGAAATACTATAGGTAAGCTTTGTATAACATGAGGAGGAATTATTTTAATATTTATAATAATTATCACATATTATTCCTCTTAAAGTTGACCCAAT